GACTTTAAGATTTTAAAATAAGAAAATTTGAATGCAGAAATAAGAGATCGCTATCATGCAAAAACAAGATCGTAAAAAAAGAGAGTTTTGGATGTTCAAATAATAGTGAAAGACTAAGAAGATGACATTAATAGAAGCACCAAAAAATTTGGTGGGAAAGTCCTCTACCGGAGATGGCGTAGTGGCAGGACTTTATAACTTATGGTATCACCTGATAATGAGTTTCAATTTTAAGATACATCGCATAAGTCACACGGCATCGATTTCAAGAAATTAAAATAAAAAATAAAAAATAAAAAAATTTGGTGGGAAAGAAAATTAATGAAAACTTCTCTCTCAGATGTTTGGTAATCTTTCAGTCATGAATTCCCTCAAAAGAAAGATTTGGATTAATTTTGGCTACTCTAGGTTTTGGGCATCTTTTATAAAAGATTAAATTATAAATTTCATTATGATTCTTATATTTGATAAGTTGTCAAATTTTAATAAGTATTTAATAAGTTCTTAAACATCTATTGGATTACCTAATAAATTTTTTTTGAACTTTTAATTTGTGTCTGGTTAGATATTAGACTAAAAGTTTAAAGATCTATTAAATATAGAATTGAAAGTTTATGATATATTAAATATTTTTTAAAATTTAGGAATATATTATAATACGACATTGAAAATTTAAGAATTTATCAGATATTTTTTAAAGTTCAAAGAACTTATTAAACATAATTCTAAAAATTTAAGGCCCATGGGATAAAATTTCTTTCTTATTTCTCGTTCTTTTTTTTCAATAAATAAAAATATAACTCTTTTTTAATAATTATTTCTTGTTTCTAGTTTTTTATTTTATTTTATTGGAAAACAAAAGAAAACATGTTTTAAATCAAAATTGTTATATGAAATTTAATATTTTTAGAAAACTAAGTATTACAATATTAGAATGTTTTATGTTATATTTATTTTTTAAACATGTATTTTATAAGTCAAGAATAATAAAATAATACTTTTTATTTCTTGTTTTTGTTATTTACAAAATTTCTACGCAATTTTGAAAACGTTTCTTAAAATGAGAAGCAAGAAAGAAGAAAATAGTTATCAAATAATGTTTATGATTTTTCAAAAACTAGAAACAGTAAAAATATGACTCTGGTTTGGTAATGTCCCTTTTTTTTCCTTGGGTACAACATATAGGAGTGGAGATCAAACTCACAATCTCTTGATTAGAGATATATGTCAATTATCGTTGAACTATGCTTACTGTAGTTAACGTTCTTGTTTCTTGTTTCTGTCTCTTCATTTTTAGTAAATAAAAATAGAATTGCATGGGCTCAACACCCATGAATTCAAGGTTGGTCAAACAATGTTTATATTTATGTTTGGTAACAAAATGGAAATCAAAACAACAAACAAAAAAATTGTTTCGATTGTTTTCAAAATTTCTCTGTATATTTGAAAATATTTCCAACGGAACATAACTAATTGCAAAACACTCAAAATTTTTGATAAAATTGAAAACGAAATACAAGAAACTAGAACATTAACCACAAACGCTATAGCACGTTTTAGAAAGCATATGTTTTTAACCATTATTGCAGCAGTCATTTAATGGAAGGCGCAGCTATTTTTGATGGTTTGGGGCCAAACAGAAAGAAAAACAAGAGAAGAGAGAGAGATGATTGATGATTGGCCAAAAACTACAACACGACAACCTCAATATTTGTTTCTTGTTCCTCCCATAATTATTGCCATGGACCTTCCTCTCTTCTTCACCCAAATAATACTCTTTTTGAGCTCTTCTCCCCCCTCCCCAATTCCATTCTAGGATTCCCTTTACCAAAATCATGACATTTTGATCCATCCACTTAAGTTTTTCACTTTCTATTCAATTTTGTAGTTACATTTCCTACGTTGGTTTGAAATATTATTACTCGAAGGTTTAGCAACATCTCGATATGCTCTTTGACATTGCTAATGAGGTTGAAGAACTATTCGTGAATCTTTTGTTATACTGATTGGAGAAGCGAACACAAATCTCAAATCGATTAGAAGTAGGAAAAAAATATCGTGATGTACCAATAAGGACAACATTTAATTTTCATAAGTCGGAGGTATATATATTTTTGTTTTTTTGACAGAGTTATTGTAGATATATATGAACAATATATTCATTGCCTTTTACTATTATTATTAAAAATGTATGTCTAAAATTTATCATTAGATAGAACTGAGAAAATGGTTCTATAATCTTAAAAGGGAACTTAAATTAGATTATTCCCTATATTTTATGTTATCAATTAACCCGTAGATTTTAATCGTTAACGAAATATTGAAAAATTAAAATTAATGATAAACATATAATTGAAATTAATAATATATATAGATATATAAAATACAGTTCACTTGTGTTGACTAGTCTCTTTAATGATGTGTCTTGATGTCATTAATTTTCTCCGATCAATAATCTATATATTTAAGAAAATAAATAAAACATTTGATTTAATTTAAGTTGGTTTGGTTCCAAATTAAATTAATTGAATGTCACATTCTTTTGTAGGAAAATGGCCCCTAGTCTCTGTATTTACTAATATTTATTTTACATGTGATATGATAAGATGACAAAGCTTCTCAAAATAAAATAAAGTATAACTCAAAAGAGGGGGAGAAAGCAAGTAATGTGGCCCATAACATGTCTTTTCAATAGCTCCATGATTTGATTTGCATCTTCCCTTCCCTTCCCACTCCCACTCTACTCCTATTCATTTTTCTCCAAGGGTTTTGCCTTATTTAGCAAAATTAGGTAGCCTCATTGATCCATATCTCTCCTTTCATCGCCAACATAACGATCTAGAAATGTCTATTGAAGGCAGAGAAGGAGGAGGAAAAGATTTTTCTGAAGGATCTTCATCGGCGCAACCAGTTGGATCAACCCCAAGTCGATATGAATCACAGAAACGTAGAGATTGGAACACATTTTGTCAATATTTGAAGAATCAAAGGCCCTCAGTCCCACTTTCTAACTGCAGCTGCAATCATGTTCTGGAATTCCTCCGCTATCTTGATCAGTTCGGAAAAACAAAAGTTCATCATCATGGTTGCATGTTTTATGGACATCCCGAGCCACCAGCGCCATGTACTTGTCCACTTAGGCAAGCTTGGGGGAGTTTGGATGCTCTTATCGGGAGATTGAGAGCTGCCTATGAGGAAAATGGTGGATCGCCAGAAACAAATCCTTTTGCTAGTGGTGCGATTAGGGTTTATCTCAGGGATGTGAGAGAGTGTCAAGCGAAAGCAAGAGGAATTCCTTACAAAAAGAACAAGAAGAAGAAGCCAGTTCAAAACAATGAAACCGAAGAATCAAGCTCTATGACGATGTTGCACTTTGCCCCTTGACCATCTTTTAAGCTCTCTATCTCTCGAAATTACAATATGGTAATTAATTAACTTGCTTTAGATTATTGAAGGAAAATGATTGAGGTAAATTTCATGTCTTTCCCAATATATTTGCCATAGTTTAATAAATTTTCATGCTTTTCTTTTTGTAGCTCTTTCTTATCTAATTACTAGAATGTAATCTCTTTGATCTCTTCAATTATAAAAGCTAATGTATGATCACAACCAAATCTCGCATATTATATGAGAGACAGACACTCACACACACAATGCTATCTATAATTATTTTATTATTTAATTAATGACCAACCTTTTTTCCTTTTTTTTTTTTTTTGGTCTTCTTCAGAAGACCCACAAAAGTTATTTTTATTTTTATTTTTTCTTGTAATTTTACCTTCGTACTATCTCAAGATTTGCTTCTTGTCCAATATTAGATTTTGTGGGACACTGAATTATATTCCATCATGCAAATGTTTGGACTTGAAAGCCTTTTGATATTCCTTCTTCTTTCCCTCTTGTTTTTTTTTTTTAAATTAATGAACTCCTAAAGTTTGCTTAAATATAATTAATGTTCTTGCTACGTTATACGATGAGTATGTAAAAAAAACTAGTGTTTTCTTTAATTTAATTGAATCAAACCCATTAATGATATATCTCATTGGCTGACGGAATTCATATTAATTAGTTTACTTAAGATTTTTAACTTTTTTTTATCTTTTTTTAAGTACAACATGTAGAGTGAGAGACCGAACTTACAACCTCTTAGTTAAAGATAATTAAAGATATATGTTAATTTTATCTGAATTTGAGCATATGTTATAAAGAAATATTAACTCTTAAGTGAACTGTATGTTTTTTAAATTCATGGTGGAGAGTTGGTTTATTTACGAATCAAATATTTTAATTTAAGTTTACATGGCAGCATTATTAAACACAATAAAGAGAGATAATTAAATTCACAAAGATCAATGAATATGATTAAGTTTACCATTCACTTTCACTTGGGTTATTTCTCCAAAATTTTAGTTGTTTAATATGTTTGTTGGAAATAGTAATTCATTATCTATTTGAATAAACAGTCAGCAGCAAAAAAATTTCCTCTAATATTTACCTATGAAATTTTAGTTAGATAATTTCACCAAAGTCCTAGGGTTGGTGTCTTTTGCTTCAATGTGTAATGGTTTTCAGCATATATTTCATCTATAATTGACATTTTCTATGTAATTTTTCTTAAGGTTCAAATTTGCGGAGTCAATCGTGTATATATGCCAATTACTACTAAGCTATGTTTGTTTTAGTCGATGATGTCTTTTTTTTAATTACTATTTAATTGCTCGATCTATTATGATGTATTTGACAGGACTAATAGAGAAGCATTAAGGAAGACGTGAAGTGATCATCGACCGAATCAATCCTTCGATTGAACTTATTTTTATCATTTCAAGAATCAATCGTCTTTCTTTTTCTTCTCTGGAAAAGTTATATATGTGTCGAGAAGATAGAATCTCTATTTTATATTAATATAGATTTATATTTTCCATTAAAGCCAATAGTACTTGTGAATCAGAGAGTTTTCATTTCCTCTTGGCTTTTGAAAATTTCAGCTTTTTAAGCCTTTGGTATCACAAAACTCCCAAATGTACGTAATTTGTCTGAGCTTTGTAATATGTGTGCATGCCTGATTTGTACTATGGTTATATGCTTCAATATAACATATGGGCTTTGTCTCCCTCTTTCTATATATACTCAACTTGCAATACACTATATATCAGATGTTTAATTAGCATTAATTCGAACTATATTAAGTAATCCTAAAAATCTATATATTTTTTGTGTTGTTTTTTTATGCATGTTTGCTTTTATATGGATAAAAAAGATGTAGGGTCATTTGTCTTCTTGACTATTTGGATATAGACCGGTTCATAGATTTTTGGGTTTGATTATCAAGAAAAATAGAGGGTCCAAATTTAGTGTCGGCCTAGGGTTCTTTGTACGTTGTATTTAGTACGAGAGCATATGCTTCAGGAACAGGTTGTTCAGGTCATGTAGCTTAAGGTGTATTAGATCCTACATACTTGTCACAGTGACGAATGCAAAATTGGAAAACAAATTATAACTTCAACTACTTCCATGTCCCAAGATCACGTGTGTTCTTATTGAACAGCAAGGTAAAATGTGAGTTTGCAAGCCCCTCATATACGAGTCAGGTGGGGTACCTAATGGATACCTGAGACTTAACTTAGCTAGCACATACTCGCTAATGACCTTTCATTGAGTCATCTTAAATTGCATTGATCTATCCTAAAGAGATTTCATTTCAAAAGAAATTTGGTTATTCACCCTAAACAAAGATCTCCACTAAACATCTATTGATATGTCTCAACTTGAGTTGGCCATGTTCCCTTTTGAAATATAGCAAATGTAATGAAATGACTAATTTTTCTTATTAATGTTAACGCCAAAATTCCATCATGTCAAGGATTTGGAATTGTCTGATCTATTGAGAAAATGTAGAAGCTATAAGCGTTAATCAAGCTAGACTTTTTCGTGAATTAAAACAGACAAATAATGATTTTGTTTTTAATTTTTTATTAAATATAAGATAATTTATTAATACTCACTTTGTTTTATTTACTTAGCAAAAATTTAAATTTAAAAATGTTGAAAAAAAGCCAATTTCTTTAAGCTATTCTTTTAAAACAATTTGAATGAGATGGTAAACACAATTACTGACATCTATTTCTACCTTAGAGTTGGAGTTAGTTTTATTTATGGGAATATTTTTTATTTTTTATTTTATTTTTATTTTAGAGTTCAAGGGGTAAGGATTCGATCACCTGAACTTTAGTACAAATTTATACTATGGAGAGATTATTAATAAATAGCTTGATTTTTAAAAACAAAATCGTCATCTAAGTCTAATGCAGTGACATAACAACCAAATCAGCTGATATGTGTTGAAATTTTGCTTAAAAAGAATATGAATATGATACAAAAATAATGCTGCTGTCTCTCTGTCTCCCATAAAGCTTTGTGGAAAAGAGATAGAGGCCTATGGAAAACAACAATTTGGACTTTGTAGCCTATAGCATTTTAGGCTTTTATTTGAAAACGACTCCTTAATTACACGCCAATCCACTCTCATTAATTGGATATTCCACCTAAATCATTCATAAACTTTTGTCTGCCGATCTAAAATTGCCATCATTCAAGTGTATTCGTAAGTTACTTGAATTTGTACATCTCAACTAAGTTTGTAAATTCTACCCATCTCAATATAACTCAACAAAAATTGACATATATTTCTTCTTTCAAGATTGATGGTTTGATTCTGATATCCCCAAACTGTTATTTTCAAACTCCACGAGCACCAAGCCCCACCTGTTCGCAAGCCACGCCCCACCTACACCCCCTTGCACGCAAGCCATGCTCACTGCCCCCATGCGCGCTAAGCCCACCAGCCTCATTGTGCACACCACGCACCCCACGCCTGAGTTATAAATTCAAACTTTTCGATCCTAAACTTAATCATGAACCAAACACTATTTCTCTTGCTCCACCAGCCTCATTGTGCACACCACGCACCCCACGCCTGAGTTATAAATTCAAACTTTTCGATCCTAAACTTAATCATGAACCAAACACTATTTCTCTTGCTCCGACCTTGTGTTCAAATTGCCTTAAATTTATCTCAACTAAACAGCTTAAAGGGATTCTTTAAGTAAAGGAAGAGTATGGGGGGACAAAAAAAGTGAAGAGAATAGCTTCAAAGAGATTAAAACAATTTTTCCAGGCATAGTTACTTAAATCAGAATAAAGGCGTGAGATTTTATTTTAAGAAACTACTTTCAAAATAGTTTTTATTTTCTAGAATAAATATACAGTAAAAAGATATTCAAAATAACATTTTTAAAAGTTCAGATAAGGCAATTCACTTGGATATCACTGAGACACCATACTTTCAACTTATTCTAACTAATGGCCTATTTCCCTAAAAACAACTCAATTTACTTTACCTTCTAAAACCATATACTTGTAGAAAGTAATTCATCAAACTATGATAACTTAAAATTACAATTTTAAGAACCAAAAAAAAAAAAAGAATTATCTTAAAAACATTATCCCAACCAACCCTTTAAAATATTATTTAATGGTATGCTTTGTTTTTAAACTGAAAACTGTAAAGGACCGGGAACCTGGATGCATGATTTCTGTCACTATACCAACAAAATGTTTCAAAGGAACAATATATAGTGGTCTCTTTTTCGCATGCATGCACATGTCAAAAGCAAACGATAACACGTGCTTTCTTCCCACGTGAGAATATTTCCAGCATTTACAATTATACCTATTTGCACGCGTAAACAGGAGGCTATATCCGTACTTTTCAGTTTTCACCTCCAAGGAAATAAATATATTAAAAAAAATAAATATGGCCAGAAAACTTATTGGGAGAAGTATTGTATACTCGCTACCAAATAAAACACTATATATTTCAGATGACCAAAATAACAGGTGATTACTGATTATATTGATTGTTACTACCCTCAAAAAACAAAAACAAAACAAAAGATTGATTGTTACTCACAAAAAGGAAGGAGATGCTGGTCAATCCCAGCTTCAAGTTTCAAGCAGCTCCACCAAAAAATCCTCCGGCCAAAACAAGCTCAAAGTCTGGAGTTTATAACCAGCATCGAGGGCGTGTATGTGTGCCTTTCAAAAAAGAGATAAACTTTTCCTAGTCCTTCCTACTTTGTTGGCTACGAGTAACAATCTGTTACAAAATGAAGGATGAACACAAGATTAGTTATGATATAAAGTAAATTATGCAACCAGAACATGATGTGTAGCCAAAACTCAGAAGTCAGATTCAACAAAGAGGGAAAAAAGAACTGGGTCGATTGAAATCTATACAGTTGGCATTGAGCAATGAATTTGAGTTGTCATGGGATGAGAAATTACTATATATGTGCAGCCTATTGTGTTCTCTTTTCTTTTTTTCATTTCAATCCACAGAGAAGCAATCAACTGTCTCACATCCCTTGTCACCAGTACTATAGCCATCTTGCACAATTTTTTTCAGTAGAAAACAAACAGCCCCTATTGAGAATGAACTCGTCCAGAATCTTCTTCCTTTTCTTCTGTCCAGAGATAGAGATGCAATATAGACAATGTTAAACATCAAAATATTTCATCTTGACAACTAATTATTTTGCATTTTTGCTGTTAACTCATGCTCCATGTTAATTTGGATTTAATCTCAAGGAATAACCAGTCGTCCATGGGAACATTAACTTAGCTCAGTGGTTCATTGACACCTATCTCTGATCAATAGGTTGTGAGTTCGAATCCCCACCCCAACTTGTACTTAAAACCACCAATTGTCTGTGATGGAAAAAAGAAAAATATTTTACCTGGTATCAGATTGACAGAAAATAAAATCTACGAATTAGGACTAAACTTGTATAATTTTAACTTGCAGAAATAAGATTATCTGAAGCATCAAGCAACTGATGCTCCTTAAAGTGCCTACGTTTAGCAGTGAGGATTTAACAATAAAGGTTCATAATCGATAGACTCAACTTTTTCCTTACTAGTTTCTTGTGAGTCTTTGATATGCTTGATGCAGACTCATGTCTGTAATGTAAGAACAGCACATAACACTTGAAATGTAATGGTTTCTCTCTTGTTTTCATCATAAAGGCCCAAACTTACGAGCCAGATGACAAATTTCATTCAGATCAAAACCAAGAACATCTCTTCCTTCTAGGTCTTCTCAAAGTCAGGGTAGATAAAAAAAACCCAGCATATGTCTAGAGACACTTAAACGACATAATTGACATAATTAACTTCAATTCGAACAGCAGAATTCTGATTTGTAGAGGTGAATATCTCCGCTTCCTACTAGCTCTCACTTTCTCTTTTTGGCAGTCACAGGAGAAGGAAAGTTCAATTAATACTGAGAAAGATGGTTGTATTTTCGTATACTCTATCTTTCCATACTCACTTTCTTTCTTAACCAAATAGACTTATAAGAATTCCCACTCCCTCTAGCAGCCTTGAATTCCGAGCAGCTAAGTTCCCATGACAGCCACATGGAAAGGGAAAGCATTGATTTCATGGGTGCACCCTAATGTATGGGGTATCACAAGAATCCCCGTATATAGCTTTCATAAGACACCTTCATTCTCCTAAATACAAATGAAAAGGCGGATGGGAGACCTTTGAAGTTTAGATCTATTAAATCCTGTTTCAATCCTTTTAACTTTCACACTTTTTCTACTCACAAATGTTTTACTTTGGACCACCAATTTTACATGTAGAACTACTTTGGTTGCTGCCATTAAGTTTATAATATGCACCAAACAAAAACTTGACATGACAATTTTAAAAGCAACAATGAAATTAACTCTCTTACTTTACGTGATACAATTAAAAAGCAACAATCAAAGTAAATTTTTATGGAAGTTTAAGAACCAAACCAAGATAATTTACCGTATGAGACCCATGATGAAATGAGTGTAGAATTTAAAGACAATTTCTTCAACTCTTAACAGAGAACAAACTTCAACATACTCCTAGAAAGCTAAGCGGTTCCATTCTTTTCTATGGATTTATTACACTGCCAAACTCAAATTTTATGAACACTGAGCAGCAAGTGATTTCAAATTTTGACTCGATTTTTCCCAATAACCAATTGCATGTATAACACGATACTATTCTGAAATTTCGATTAAAATGGGTTCCCAATAAAGTCAAGGATTCATCCAATCCACCCAAAAATATGCTGAAAAAACATACCGCTCTTCCATCCGAAGATATCTGCAGCAGGCATCTATTTATAATCTAATGCAACCTAGCAATTGTAAGAGAATATCCAGACACAATGAAACACCATCTCAAACCTAAAGTTCCCTCTCACTATAACAACTAAAGCGACGAGGGACAGAGAAAGTAGTTAGAAGCTAAAGGCTCACCGGTTCCTGAATCTCGCCTGGCGCGCTTGATCTTTTGAATCTGAAGTTGCATCTCCATAAGAAGTTGCATTCTCTGATACTCCAATTCTTTAACAAACTGCATCCGTTGAATCTCCAATTCTACCATGTGCCTCTGTTTTGCTACCTCCACTCTCTCGTATATATCAGCAATCGTCCCTATTGCCCGAGCCAGTTTTCTATACCCTACCTCTCTGTCGTTGAACCTTGGACTCGACAATGACCTCGAATCCTCGGAATCCGTACCGTACTTTCCTTCATCCTCTTTCGAATTTACATCCCGGCGAAGGTACGAGTCGCAAAAACTCCTATAGACGTGAGTCGAACGACGTTTCTTAGTTCCGGATCGAAGCCCAACCGGAACATTCGAGAACAGTGAAAAACCTGGAGTCGTTACTGGAGCGGTTTTCCAATTAGATACGGCGGCCGGCGTCGAAGGCTTGTGGCTGTTGCCAATAAGATCGTCGAGGCAGGAGAAGAATGGCCAAGCACAGACGTACGAACCACCGGATTCTAGACTTCTCGCCTTCTCGATCTTGTACTTCTTCTTAAGCGTATCGATACGGTTTTGGCACTGAATATTGGTACGAAGGGACTTCCGGTCATGACCATGCCGGGAGTTGACAGCTTCGGCGACCTCTTGCCAGTGTTTGTGGCGAAGGTTGCCGCGGTTCAAGTCGAGATGACGCTCTCCCCAGGCCTCGATGAGAGTCAAAGTATCGTCCTCGGTCCAACAGTCGTCGCGAACCGGTAACGTAGACGGCGAAGGCTGTGACAGAGGCATTACGGGCGGCGGAGCACGGCGGATGAGTCGGCGGACGGTTACCGGCGGCGAGTCCGTTCAGTGGGAGGGGTTTAGAATGGAGTTCGGCGACTGGGTATGCATGCGCGAGGCGGGGCGAGGCAGTGCAGTGGGTGGAGAAAGGAAAGCGGTGAGCAGTGGTGGAAATTGGAATGGAAGGCGAACGTGTCCAAGGATTTGCTTTAAGCGGCACTTGGATCCATTGGCGCGCGACCTCCCTTCCGCATGCTGTGTTTCGTTTTTGGGCCTCCGGCGCGCTACAATTAATGTTTGAATTCTACACATTCCACTCCCTTCAAAACGGGTTAAATTAATTCTATCAAGGAGTGAATTGAGATTCTGTTTCTTGTTTTTCAAATTTATTGAATCTATAGATTCTTTGGTAGATTTATTTTTTTTAATTTGTTTCAGATACCGTATTCAAATAGTGATTTTTTTTTTAAATTATGTTTTTCAATTTTGAATTTAAAACTTTAACAGGGAGAATTACATTAAACAAATATAATAATTTCGATAAATATATTATTTTATGTTATAAATTTATTTAATTTTTGTTAAAATTAGTATGTGTAAAATATAATATATTATAAATTATATAATATTGTAAAATAATCATTCTACAAAATTTGTGGCAAAAATATCAATAAATTAATTAATATAATTTTAGATTCAACTAAATATTTAGTTGGTAACTATCCCTACTCTACATATATATTATTAAATATAAGTTGAACAATTTTTTAAATTGATGTTCAATTTTAAAATTTGCTATTAAATGCTTAAAAGTAGAAATACAAGTTTTTTTTTTTTCCATTGAATCCCTTGTTTATATATTTATGCTTTTAGATCAATCAAAGTCTATGTGAGATATCAAATGTTGTAGAAGATGATTTATAAGATTCTGCACATCGAGTTTAGTGTTCCTAGTTCAAGAAATTTATAATAGATTCTACTACTTATCTTTTTTTTAATTAAATCTCGTTTCTGTTTTCAGATCAATCAAAGTTGAGGTGAGATATCAAATGTTGTAGAAGATAATTTATAAAATTTTGTAAGTCTTAGTTTTGTGTTCATAGTTCAAAAAATTCATAATAGATAGTAAACTTTTTTATTTTTAATATGAGCATATTTATGTAAATAAGACATCGATAGGAAGTTGTGAGTTTGGTCTCCCACCCCATGTTATATTCAAAGGAAAAAAAAGTTTATTCCATTTTTTTTAATGATTTTAACAATTTTGTTATTGTATTTTAAAATTTTAAATTTAAATAATATAGGTCATGTATGGCACCAGTAAAAAATGTTTCAACATGGGCCGGTTGAATTGGGACTATGCTGGGCTTGGCCCAACCTATGAGTCGCTAGTCATTTGGTAAGGTTGAATTTCGTTGTAATACTACATCAAACAAATTTATTATTTTTAACATCAGTAATTAACTGTAATGATTTGTTTTTTTATTTGAGATAATAATTGTAATCGTTAGAATTTAGAAATTAAACTACATAGATGAACTAAACTTATTTTCAAGTTAAAAACAAACAATTTGCACTATATAAACAAAATTAATACATATAAGTAGCCAAAAAAATATGTTAAAAAAAAGGGCTAAAATAAGCCTAGTTTAGCGTTAAGGCACATTACTCTATCTCTTTAGGTTTGAGGTTCAACATATATCTTACTCCCATCTGTAACTGATACGAAATTCTATTTGCACCTTAAAAGATTTATCCTATTCGTTGATGAGTCAGGACCCATGAATGAATTTGGAGAAACAAGGTTCTGAAAAACACAGGTTGAGACAGCAGCACATGAACAAGAACAAGCAGGTCCACAAATAATTATTGTTTCATAAAATATTTCGTACTATAGTGTAAAAGTATCGTATGCTTCCTTTATTCTCCATGTAAATTTATGGATCATCATTGTTTCTTTACAGTACAATTTACAACAGGAACATTATCAAATTTTGCCTAACAGTACAAATGCCCATTTACAGTTATTTTTTACACTGTTTCTAAAGCAAGCAAAAGGGAAAAAAAGTATAAGACTCAAAGTGAGAGATTCTGGAACATTGAAACCCATAAAACCAAGGGGAAAGTAGCATACTCACAGCCAAATGAAATTTGGAGCAGGCTTCTTCCCTTGATCTAAACTTCAGGTATAGATGACAGCAGTTCCTGATGCAAAAAATTGTGAACATTATATCTTACAACTCTAATAGGAATGGCTGTTGGGATGAATTAGGAATATTACTGAGACATTAAAAGGTATATTAGTAATTAGCAAAGAAAGTTGGTAGTAGGCATTTTATTGTTTTTTTAGTACCGTAGAGATTTGTTATAAATAGCGTGGTTAAGACTGGACTATTCAAGAAAGGCTAATATGAGGATAGCTAAGCGGTCTAAGACGCCTTGCTCCTTCCACATAAGACGGAAGTTCAACCCTCAATCCCTACATTTGTTGAACTAAAAAAAAACTTGAGAAAGAAGAAGGTCCAACTTCAATTACCTCGAATTACTTGGGAGTTATTATAACTCTTCTATTTTTTATATTTCAATACTGAGTTCTACCCTATCTCTTGGGAAGTTGAAGTTAACTAACAACGTGTTCAAAACATCAAAGGGAGGGTTACTCCATTACCTTTGGAAACTGCAGATGCTGATGATTTGTATCGGAGCTTTTAACAATCGACTCTGACTTGGGATCAGGCAACGTGGTTATTGAGACAGGGTTTGCTCGCATTGCAAGAGAAGACTGCAAAAACGAAGAGTTTCTCGAAGTCGGTAAAGTACGCTTTAGCCAAGAGTCTGATGGAGATTTTGGTGGAGGTGGAGCAAAAGACAGCCGTGAGTAACCACACCGAGAACTGCCTTCATTGCCTTCCCTCTTGAGAATTTTATTTTTTGAATCTCTGTTTCCATTAGTGGCATCTTCTGAAGTTCTCAGGTCAGGAGAGTCCTCAGCAGGACTATGGAAACTTTCTTGAATGCCAGTTTCCATAAGCATTTTGCCGTCCGACTCAAGCTTCTTGCCATAGTCTGGAATAATAAGGTTATTCCCTTCATAACTTGATTTCTCAGGTTGTTTCCTGTCTATAATCTTCTCATTGTGAGTTCCATCTGAGCTTACCAATGCAGGGGTATCACTAGCAATACAATTAGAATCGACTCGGTTGTTTGGTTTTAAGGGAAACTGATTTTCCAAATCAAACTTCTTGTTCTTGTTCTGAGCAAATTGCAAACTTGTCAACTTCACAGCATCCTGATTTTGTCCCAGTTTGAATCTGGAGTAATTTGAATCCACTTTTACCTCAAAAAATGTTCTATCTGAGGAGGTGGGCAAGTGGGAACCCACAGATACCAAACTATCAGGTTTCAGATTTGTTTTCTCATCTGCAGCGTTCAACTTCTTGATATCTTGGGTGGCAGAATCAAGTAGATATGGTTCTTTCATTTCAGTACTTTTCATGGAAGCATCATCGATCATATCTGAACTGAAACTTATGCCCTTCATATCCCAAGAATTTGAACTTGAATTGGGAGATCTAATCTTATGTACAGAGTCTATGTAGAGAGTTTTCTCAACAGCAGGACTAGCTGAACCCGATTCGTCGTCACCCAGTAATGCTTGGAAGCTACTTAGGCTTCTTCTATGTGGTTCATCATATTCATTTGTTGCTGAATTGGTAGCATTTTCAGTCCAACCAAGATAAGGATTTACATTTGTATGAACAGCTCGGGAAAGTTCATATGGGTAGTTGGATATGCCCTCACCCTGCAAATTCCTGTATAAAGAAAATGTATCTCGCTCCTGATTAAAAGTTTTGCCGTTGCTTTTGCTGGACTTACTTGCATCTTCTTCCATCTGCAGCCGAGTTATTCCCTGACCATTACTCACTCGTCTCTCATTTGCAGCGTCTTTGGGATTCTGTAGATATTGAATGGTACAGATTCAACAGTTAGACTTTTTGACATAGTCACAAGGCAAATTAAAATAATTAGAGAAGAAGACGGTACCCCAATTGAGCTATTCCGAATTTTACGTACTGAAGTGCCCTGCATTCTCAATCCAGGTACTGGATTCAAAAGGACAAATGAACCTTTTAAGCAAAACCGAGGAAGCAAACCACAGCCCCGAGCAGAAGCATATCCAGACCCATAATAGACATCATCTTCATCATCACTTTCTTCCCTGCATATTTCTTGAACATGATGTGTCTGAAGGTGCAGGTTTGGCCGACTCTGCCTACCCCCATTTGTCACCATCTTTATTTCCCTTGGTCGCTCAACGGTAGTAGTTTGTTTTCTGGTAGTATGTGGAGGTGTTTCCGAAGCCATTGCCTTTGCTGCAGGCAGAAATCGATCAATCATGAAATTCCGAGCCTGTGGATCCATGGAAGAAGCCCCTGATGGTTTAATTTCTGAACCTTCCAATCCACTCACTCCACTAATACTACAGTTGAAGAAGAAGGATTCGGATCGAGAAAATCTATCATTTGCATCCCTGAAAACCTCATCATCGTCTTCTTCTTCTTCTTCAATCCCTGACTCACAAATGGCCTTATCTTCTCCTGCCTCTCTGGCATTTTCATCTGATGAAGCATTCATAGAAATAGGAACTTCTTGCTTAACATTTGGGACCCTTCCGGGTGGGAGTTTCGGAACAAGGGGAGGCTGTGTCAAAATCCGAGTTTTTCTTGTGCTTTCATCCTTGGGTTTACCTGGAGTCTGCTCCCATACAAAAGGAACGGTTCCAGGATTCCTCACCGGACCAGATTTCAACTCTGATTTATATACAGGAAGAGGAGGAATTTTGGGTTCAGTGCTGGTTTTTTCTTTAGTCTCTGATGGAGTTCCTGTAGATGAAAAACGCCTCACGGAAAGAAGAGGCTGATTAAAATCCAGTTGGTTGTCTTCCATCAAATTCCTTAATGAAGTCATGTGGTAGTTCCTGCAGAAGACCACGGTCATATTAAAATGCTACACAGAGTAGCAAAGCTGTTCGAAGGTGCTAAAAAACAACCGCAGCTAAGATCTTAGGTTGATCTACTGATCAATGTGACAGAAGAATGTAAAAAATCTTTTTTTGGAATTATAAACAAATTTTACACAATGTTTGAAATTTGTATGACGCACTAGCTCGAAATCCATTTAAAAAAAAAAAAAAAAAAACCACTTCGAATGAAGCTTGGAACTCAGTGAATCGTTTCAGCAAACACCTTATATTCATTATGGACGCACCCTTCAATCAACTTACTTCGATCAAAAGAATACTCATCCAGAAAATGAGATTGGAATTAAGTATCAGATACAACAATTTGAATTCGATATTTGATCCAGATTGCACAAGAACATCAACATCAACCCAATAATGTCATTTAACAAACAAGTCCCACTCTCTGTTCATATATTTCGAATTAAATGAGCTATGGAACAGCAAACATACTAACCGCAATTACAGATTAAAAGATAAAGCCTTCTTTGAAGTCGGCACCGACCCAGAAACCAGCTCGATCTACTCCTCGCAGACAACAGCAGAAGAAAACAAGCTGTATTTGCAAAAGAAAGGAGACGAGAGAGAGAGAGAGAGAGGTTTTGTCCAAGAATCTGAACCAACCCATGCATGAATTTTTAAAAAAAATCAGAGAGACAATAATAAAGGCAAAGGGACAGATGGGAGAGAGAGAATTAATCAGTGGGTCAGAGTGTAACTTACAGAGGATGGCCATGGGAGAGTTGAATTTACCAATCTTTAATGGAAGAAAACAATTTGTTCTTAAAAAATCAGAAACTAATGTGTGGGGGAAAGTCCTCTTTTTCAATGTGAAGTGCAAATTTTGGTAAATATAAAATGTCGGTCTATAAAGTATTTTAAGAGCAAGTTGCTCAGTATCATGTGATGACACTTAATTCGTACAATATGGAAAGAAACGCGTCAATGGGGTTCTCTCACGTGCTACCATTGGTATGTGCTCGTGTGAATTTTGAACGAAGACGAAGAACTCGAAAGTCAAGGCCCGCATTATTTTATATTTGAAAAATTAAATTAAATAATAACATTTTTGTTAGACATAGAAATAAAAGATAAAAAATGTGTTTCGACCCATAAAATTTTGTCAAACAAGTGAATATTTTTTATGTTTTTCAAAATATTAAATAGTACTCTAAATTCAAGTATTAATTAACTCATCTTCTAGGATGGTATTGTTAATATCTATCATATCTAATTATTACACAAATTGGCCTTGTTCGATGCATAGCTTTTGAACATTTGGATATTCATATATGTGAAGAGATCTCTTGTGKTATTTTATTTTTTGCATATTGCGAACACTGTCCTACAGGCCAACACGAGTCAAAACACTCAATTTTAGAGTTTTTATGATCGAGCCATTGAAAATCAAAAGTACACCTTATTGATATACGCACTAACTATCGATTCATTTAAGCATTTTTTATCATATTCTCATGATTTTAAGATCTCTCTTATTTGGATGTGGTACCGATTCATCAATGTACCCCTCATATATTCTCGAGCATCACAGTTATGGATTCTTCATATCTCGTCCTGTTGTTTTTTCTTAATGTTGTTGGCTTTTGCCCAAAAAATAAAAAAACAACATGTAGAGGGGGTCGATAATATTATCTTAATAATTTTAACAAACAACATAAATGAATAAAAAAACACTTGAATTTAGTCTTTTTGAATATGAACATAGTTTAATTTTGCCCTTACGGTATTAAAAGTTGCAAATTAATGCATATGATTTGGGGCTTAATTGCCACTATGAGTTTAGCTTTGTAATTGACACACTCTTCCAATCAAAAGATCAAAGTTTGAATCCCTCCCCCCATTTCATATATTCCAAAAGAAAAAAAGAAAAAAAATGGGGCTTAGTTTCATGATTATCCTCGTGCTTTAACGTGATTGGGCGAAGCCCACAGACCATGTGTCTTTAGGAACCGCGGCCACGTGGCATATAAGAATTTACCCATAACAATTCGGATTAGGTTTTTGCAGATTAAATTGATACTTCTAAAACTCAAATTTATAATTTAACGTTGCGACTCTAGAACGCGGAAGAAAAGAGCGCGAAGCTACCAAAATAAAAGATGATTTTTAGTTCTTCGCGGGGGAAGTTAACGATGGATTCCGCGCACGACTCTAAGATCTGCCTCTCTCTGCGAGTAAAAGCATTGCAATATTCGTCGATCAGCTACTTCGTCCTCGTTTCAGTCGCCGGTGGTCTGAAAGAAACGACGATACCGACGAGGCTGTGGATGCACGAGGGTTAATGTCTTGATCAATTCACCTTTTGCATTGAGGAGAGAATCGGGATTTACAATTGTCGATCTGTTGGTGCCTGGCGGCAAACTCTAGCACTGCGCAGAAACAGAAACTCAAATATATCTTGAGGTATGAGTTTGGAATTTGTTACTTCAGAGTCAAATCGTCTTGTTTAATATTGGTTGGGAGAAGAAACTAAGAATTTCGGCGTTCGAGGATTGAAGGTGATGCCCAGGTAGTCAGTTTGGCAATCGAGAAGCTTCCACAAAATTTTATGTGATCGGAGTTTATCGACATTCATATTTTTGTTTGCATATTGGCGAGTGTCACTGTTTATTACAGTATATATCCAAGAGGATAGGAATAACAGGTCCACCATAGTTATACTCACCGAGGACCAAGATGTCTATGGTTAATTCTTTCTAAACGAAGCATATGTGATTAACAATTTGAAATTGTCTGTACGCTTGGAACTTGATCTTTATTGGTTGTCTACTACTTTCAGATCGCTTATTAAGATCACTCTTCCCAATGGGTAATATTATAGAACTTCCAGTCTTAAACCCCCGGATCACTACTTAAAATGTGATAACCGATTTCTCTGAATTGACTGGGGGAGTTTGCATCCTCATTCGTTTGACGTATTCTAGACCTTTGATGAATAACTTTGTACTATGTTTACCTCGAACAACAGGCACAGATGTTGGAACTTCGAAGATGTTTTTCCTTCAAGAGTTTTTGAAGAGTTTTGTGATACCACTTCCATTTAGAGGTATGTCTTCCATCTAGAGACTCTGGACGTCTGTCTTTTGGTATCTTCACTTTTTCAATCGGTGTAAGTTTCTGATTTGGTGCTTTATGCGTGTTGCTCCTGGGCATGTATTTCACTCTGATGGTGAGTTCCCTCACCCGAAATTGTATCTATTTTCTTCAATATATTTTTGTATAGTTGCTTAATTAATGGTTTCCCTGCAACTTCTGAATGATGTATTTAACAAGAGCTGAGTTCTACTTCTAGGAATGAATCATAGCTTCGATGCCATAGATTGAACTTAAAAATTTTCGTCCTGTTTAAATCGGTAACTGATTCATTGTGCTTTCTTAGTTAATTTTTATCTTAGGCGTGCACGAAGAAGCTATTATTGTAATTGGTTCTCGAGTGCGTAAAATCAACTCCCTGTATTTACTAGTTCATTTCATCAGCTAAAAAGTGAGGCATAGTGATGACAGTATATGTTGGCACGCTCTATACAACCACAACACATGAGGATTTTCTCCTCTCCTTATTTTGCATAGCATCTGTTTTTTTAAGTTGGAGCTTGTCTTTTATTTAATTTGTGCCACCTGTCTTTTCGAAAAAGACCATTTAACTGCTCTAGTGGCCTTGATAATCATGTCCATAAAACAAGATGATAAATGACCGCACCAATGGCTCACAGTTTCGATCTCCACCTTTACCAAATCATACTTGGTAGATAGCATGAACAATTGATTGGAAAATGATAAGAGATCTGGCACGAGTATCCGGTTCTTTTGAACATCTGGAACTTGAAATATTAATGAATACAAAGATATAAATTTAAGTTTATAAATTTGTAGGTAAGATTTTTTTATTTTTGTCAGTTGGTAGAGACTTGGAAGTTTAACCCACTGTATTCTGGCCCTTGCAAAGATGAAGAAAGGTTGGATTCCTACTCCCTCGTAAATGGTATTTGCTACCCATGTTTTAAGTCATATGTTTTTATTGGTTGATTTTTATTATATTAAAAAGAAAAGTATATATTACTGAAATGACAAATCATATCAAAAACTCTTGTCAAAGTATAACTCAACTAGTTAAGACATGTATTTTCGTCGAAGAAGTTGAAGATTGTTTACACTCCAACATGTTGTCGAACTCAAAAAAAAAACATCAAAAGACTCAAAAAACAATTATATGTTATTCTTTTATATTTGGTCCTGTTGCTACTTGTTTGTTTTTTTCAATTGTATTTAGTAGAACTCAGTCCTTCAATTAAACATTAGTAATTTACCTAAAAATCAGTGGCAGTAACATAGAAGCATTGCATACATGACTAAGAATATTTCCCACGTTTCGACAGTTCACATATTTTTCCTCCCTTTACCTGACTACTATCTGTACTGTGGAACAACAGCATTCAGAATCGACATGCACACATAGCAGATAGAGGAGGTTTAGTTGGCTTTCCATAGTGTCGATTGCTCGGCCCCTAAAAGAATGATGGGGAGTCATCCGTATATCGGATCTTTGAGTTGTTTTTCGGTCGAGGACAAATACTTCTCTAGAATATGGGAGATTATCCGTAGCTGGGAATATATAAGTGGCTACTCTGGGCTCTTATGTGCGAAGAGAGAGCAGGTTTGCGTTAGAGTACTCAACCTCAAAGGTTAGGCTAAGGTCAGGTTGTACAATGAAACCTTGATTAATGCTAGTATATAGGGGTATGAAAACTTCGACCTGGTCTTACATTTATAGCATATCTAGCTATAAATTCATCCTTTCCTTGATCACATATCAACTATCATTTAGCAGGACAATCTCATAGATAGATGAAGGTGATTAGATATTCTCGTTTAGACTCCCATGCTGGATTTGTTTTACAGATATTATTGAGGAGGATTTAAGATTAAACTAGTTCGGTTCTTGAAATTGTTGCATCGTTTCTTAACTATCTTGGTATCTTTCTTCATTAGTGCAGAGTTAAAAAGCCCACATCTTCTGACTAAATCGTTTCACACATCTACATTAGTACTAATTTTGATGGATTCCTCCCATGAAAGTGTCAGAAATCACAAGTGATACAGCTAATCTCAAAGTTACTAGTGATGAGAAAGAAATTACGTGTCTTGATTCCTAACCAGGGAGAAGCCATATGGTTGCCTTCTCTTCTAACTAGCACAAGCATCAGACACTTGTTGATCTCAATCTGGGATTTGGCGGCTGTTAAGTGCAGCTTCAAAGCGACTGCAGGAGCCGGCTCTCATCTCTGTACTCATATCATTCTCTGGTGCTGGGTAGTAATCCAACCTTAGTTGTACGTCCCGCAGATATGGAATATTAAGCAGAAAATTCATGAAGTGTTCATAAGCTGTTCCGTGTATAAATAACTTCCTCAGAGTGAGACACTCTGCTAACAACCCAGCGGCGGTATGTGATAGGCTCCTCTGGTTGAAATTCCGGTCCTGTGGTGGCCAATAATCAAGCTCATCAAGTCCTAGACTACCAACTCCATTCAGAAAGAATCTCTCCCACAAGGTGAGATCCATCTGGCCTGGTGGGCAGGTTAGCGCATAGCCTATTGTGTCACTGCAATCCAACTTCATCTTCGATAGCTGAGGATATTGCCCAAGGATGCTTAACCCAAATGTATCCATTGGTTTGTGCCGCCCCCTACAGTCTCCCTCGACTTTGATCCGAATTTCTTCCAAAACAGGGCAATCCTCAAGACCGGAGGATTGCAATGGACTCAGAAAATCACCAACTCCAATCCAAAGAGACAGGTACTCCAAACTATCCCATCTCTCGCCCCACAAATCACTAACATTGCACTGCATAGAGAGGGAACAATCAGCGCCTGCGGAGTATCTGGATCTCTTCCTCTTCCTTGTATATCCACCATTGTTTTCACCTTCAAAGAGACCATCCGTGGAATAGCTAGTATCAGCACTGTGGCTTGGCATGGGAAGTTCGTCAACTTCGTTGAGATCGAAGTTCCAACCACTCATAGCTTCGTTTTCAAGTTCGTAGTCTTCTCCAGAGCCTTCCCACACACAATCGACATGAAGACGGCGTATCCGATCTCGAATTGGGTCTAGGGCTCGCAAAGACGCTCTGGTATGAAGATTCACACAGCAAGAAATTTTGACATCCACGAGAGTCCTCTTGAGCAAACTCACCATTGTCCTCAAACCCTTCACTGTGATTCTCTTACATCCCTCCACTTCAAACTTGGATAACTTCACACATCCCCTACCAATTTCTATTAAACCCATATCAGTCAAATCCGTGCAGTTCTTGATCGACAGCGACTCAAGCCCTTGACATAAGGCTATCCCATCGAGCTGCGAGCCGACCGCCATACAGATCCCGTGGAACTGCCCAAGCTTAAGAGTCCTCAATTTCCGGCACTTAGTGTTAAGTACCTCTAGTGCCGGTCCACTATCCCTAACATTCTTAGCAACATCCAGAACCAAGTCCTCGAGCAATGGCAACCCGGAGAACAGCTCAATTAGAGTAGTTGTACAAATCCTCGCGTCTTCTGACGTGAAGCCATCGGCGGAAGGGTCCCCTCGGGAACTCGCCAATGTCGAGGTGTCGGCAAGGTGAAGAAGGTTAAGTCTTGGACAGTTAGTAGCTATAACGGACAGAGTTTCATCTCCTACAAACCCGAAATACCTGGGATCAAACGTGCACGCCATTAGAAGCTGCCTGAGGTTGGGGCAAGCCTCGGTTATGGTTTGTATATCCGTCGATTTGAAACCATCAGTGAACGACGTCGTCATCAAATTTAGCTTTGAAATTGATTTGGCTGTCAGAGGGTTGGCTAGGAGAACCGGAGGAAGGTCCTCGATCCAGTAGTA